AGAAATCTTGCGTCTGCGCAGTCGGACTGTAAACAGTTCCTAAACTAGTTCTTTCACAATACATTCCGTACAGATCTTCAGGGAGAACTCAGAAATACCCAGGGGTGACAAGCAGACTTTCTACACGCAGCATGGCTCGCGTAACAGAACATTACTTATTTGCACAATTTGAAACTTATAACTTAAAAAGGTGTCAATATTTTAAGGACATTTTAAATCAATTAATCATTAGTTCAATTTATAAAAAATAAAGTGATGGCTTTCGATCACAATTACTCCTATTAAACATAATTTTCCAGCCTTCTTTCAGTTATACTTTTTTGCCGGCATATATGTTTTGAATAAAAAGTATTTTCCAAACAAACCCGTAACTTTAAAGATTATTGAAATATAAACCAAAACGAGTATGATTTCAAATTGAAGACACCGAATCCCTCTAACTCTGGTTAGTCGGTGTTGGACCGGCAATGTGTGGTAGTTGAACTGAGATTGTAGTATTGTGAGAAATGTTTTAGGAATCATTTTTACGGTGCATATTTGTTTAGCAAGAGCGTAAATTCAATCTTTAAAATCCTAATATTTAAGGGATGATTTTGAGAACCGTTTTATTTAAATTATTCAATGACGACCATGAAAATTGTAACAAAAAAATTCTACAGTAAACTAATTAGTTGATTTGAGATCTTAGTAAAATATTATTTGCTAAAATTGTTTAAATTAACACCAATTATAAGGTATTTTATAATTTGGTTAATATTATAATCTAATTAATTATTAAAGCTAATTTTGTTTCATATTTACTAATAGTTTAAGTACATATCAAGTCTGCAGGCGAAAAACAAACATTTTTTTGAATCTTGTCAATCAACGACTGTCGCTTTAAAAACGAAAGTCGGTCAAGAATTGACATTGGTTGGGAAGACCCTATAAAAAATGCCCCCAATTGGATTTTTTAAATTACACTTACACATTCTTATTCAAATTGCTCCGCCAGACTTAAATTTGTCCCATGTTTTCAACATTTGAAACCTTTACCTTTTTAGAATGCCACCAAATATTTTTAGTTTGCACCTGAATTTTTTTTATCCCCTAATTTTTTTCTTAATCCACCAAATTTTAAAATTTACAGTCCTAAGAAGACGCCCCAAATTTTTTTAAAGATAATACTCCAAAAATAAGAAGTTTTGCACCCCCAACATAAAGATTTAAGATTTTGCATACACCAAATTTCTTATGCTGAAAAGAATGCCCCCCAAATATAGAAATTAGCCCCCAAAATATCCTAAATTGATAAAGTAGTTTTTTTCATGGTTGAGTATAATACACATTTTTCTTGACCCCCCCTCCCCCCACTCTTCTAGAAATGTTTGGGGGGGGGGGGCAAAAAAAGCGAAATATTTGCCTTTTGATGGTTATACAACACCGTAACCTTACAAAGTTAGATTTCTAAAGAAGAAATGTAATGTCGTCTTTACAACCAACTAACCGACCTAGAGAAGAAATGTAAGGTCGTCTTTATTACTGACTAACCAACCTAGTCTGCAGTATCTTGACACCGTGCCATGTTAATGTTAATAATAAGAAAATTCTATGTTAATATAAGACATGATGTTGGTGTATATATCTATAGTAACCCTGTCTACCTGGATTTAAAGCATCCTCGAACAATATTAGTTTACTCTTATCAATCAGATAGTTCCTACAGTCAGAAAAAGAAAACTGTGCAGTAGAAAGACGACATTATAGCAATACTTTAACATATTTGATTATATGGCAGTCATATCATAGTAAATTATTGACTTCTATGCAAAGAATATTTGAATAAAAGATTTTTTAACGAAATAATCTGCAAAAAGTATTAAATATCTTTTACAGCAAATGGATTAAAATTCTATTTACCAACTGTAATATTTCATGGGACACCTTGCATATATATATATATATAAGAGCAATCTTGTTTGTTTGTTGGTATGTCTGATCAAAACTCATGAACCCCTTGACAGATTTGCCTCAAATTATGATTTGGGAACGCGGTAGAACCACAGGAACGTTCTTAGCAAGGTTTATAAGTTTTAAATTTAGAAGGTCGACTTTTGTAGAACAAATTAGTTTTCAGGCAAAGCTGGGTTCCTGCGCTGGTTTGATAGAAGTTTATAGATTAAACACCTTTTTATTTTTTACAAATATAAGTATTAGTATTATTTATTATTTTTATTTATTAGTATTTATTAATTAATAAAGCGTGTGGTAGGATGGTCCTACTGTATGTTTAAGAAAAATGGGAATGGGAGAAGAAACCCTTGAGACTCTAGAGGATCATAGCAATCCACTTTCAGAAGACGAGGTAATTAACGAGAGTTAACTAACAAGAGATAATTAACTAGTTAAATGTGTTTTTTGCAAATCATAGCACTTTCACTAAGCTTAAAGGGACTGTTAGCGTAATTTCAAGTAATTCTCTATGCAAAGATGGCACTACCCGATTCACAACGGTACCCTTAAAGCCTTGAACTGATCTATGTTGTCGGACCTATTCCCATTTATTTACTAAAACGCGTCACTACTCACTACAGTTTCAGTAGAAGTAACTATTTCCATTTAGTGTATAGTGCCGATACAAGGATTTATCAATAATTGGATGATGAGATAGATAGAAAGATAGATATTTCAATGCAATTTCTATTGGTTCAGATAGACCAAACATATGACTGAACCCTGATTGGATCAGTCGCTAATGGACTCGGGAAACAGGAGTGATTGGAGATCTCCTTTCTTTGGAGACCCCACATATTTTTATTGGAGACCCCCAATGAGAATCTGGGGGGTCTCCAATGATAGGTCATTGATATGGGTAAAAGGCTTTTTTATATAGATTACAATATTTGTCTTATTAATATGAATTAATAAAAGATTTAAAATAACATTCCTGGTTGGACTTAAGAAACAACCTCAGAACACCACAAGGTGAACACATTTTTAACAATGATAGGTCATTGGGGTCTCCAATTAAAAGGGGTCTCCAATAGAACGCCAAGAATGATGATTTCTTTTCAGATTCGTGGTTTTCAAGATATTTAAACGGAGAGGTCTGTTTCTTTACCCAATGAACAGATAAAGGTTTAAAGGGTACCGCTGTAAATCGGGCATTGTCCACTTTGCATAGAGGGTCACTTTAAATTACGCTTACAGTCCCTTTACCGAAAAATTTGGCCTTTAGTTGTAAGCACAAACAGCTTATTTTCTGGAAAAGAAATTGAGTTTTTTTCCCACGAACTACAATTCAACCCAGAACTTTGGAGATATCGAAATAATTTTGAAAATGTTGTCTTGACAATTTTCAATCCCATTATATTTTTCAACCCAATGTAGTAGACCTTAATGCAGCCTTTGATGTGGGGTTAGTTCCAATATAGCATGTGCGAAAATGGGCTAAAAAGGGTTAACTTTGAAACAGGTTCTCATGCAGTTATGTTTTTAACTTCTGACAATATAGCATAAAAGACAAATTTTTTCTCCAAGTCCCCACAAAGTCTTTTCCAAATGACACCTGAACCACGACTTAAAAACTTTGTTTTGAAAGGTTGTATTAGGTTCTGCCTAAGATAAAGTCTTTTTATGGTACAATAAATACTTTGACATTGAATGAAACAAGTTTACACCTGCAGCAAACCATGAATGAATTCTGTTACTGTCGTCGCTGAAGTCACATATTTGTGGGTAGCCCTGTATACACACTTATCACAATGATCACTGAAAAGCATGCAACAATCGAAATAAAAAGGTGTCAGCATGATTTGTTTGTTGTGTGTTTGATTCTATAGTTAAAGGGAGTGTTCGTGAAAAATGAAAGGCGAAAAATAATCTTTTTTGATTGCTATCTGTTGCGTCTATAAGGAGAATATTGTTAAAAACTACCTATTCTATTTGTTATTTGTTTTACAAACAATGCACTTTTTTCCGCAAGGTATCTCTGCCACGTGTAATCATTCAAAGTATCGAGAGCAGAGACATCTGGCTGCCAACTATTTCGGCGTTTTTAGTGCATTGTATACAAAACGAAAACAAAATATTATGAAATATTTACTTTACAGGAATTTGTCAAAATATAATCGATTGTAATATCTGAATGATTTGTTTGAAATTAAATTGACTTTTTTGCGATCTTAGTCGTATATTGCAACTTTGGGAATTTGTATGTACGCTACGTTCTTCAGTATAAGTCGCTTTTAACAATTTTCTCCTTATAATCGTAACAAACAGAAGTAACATTAGAAGCAATCAAAAGCGTTTATTTTTCACCGTAAGCGAACACTCCCTTTAATACATTTTCATTTTTCCTTGGATTAAGAAGATTAACACATTGGAATATGGATTACATGAAAATAGACTTAATATTAGAAATAGTAAGAAAATACTACGTACAACTTTTATGTATTAGATGTATACAAACAACATATGAGTTGCTTAAAAAAAAATATAAATATGTTTATAAAAATAGATATATGTTTAAACAACCCGTTGTGCCAACTGTCTTGTGAGGCATAAGAAATATAATTTTGAAAATTATCAATGCTCACCTTAAATAATCTGCAAATCTTTTAATATCACATTTAAACAGAATTCATTAAACAAAAAATACTTACAAGTAAACAATTCAAATTATAGTTAAAACCAGAAAAAAGGGCACGGAGCGGAATACAGTAATAGTTATTTGAAAATTAAAACTAATATATTTGTTCTTCTGAATAAAGATAGAGATAAAGCGAAATAAAAGTTAGAAATTTTCCAAGTCATTTTTATTTCAGAATTGTAATATTTTCACTATTTCTCATTTTCAAGCAAAATAATCCAGGATCGATAAAGTTGTGTCTCTGACATTCAGCGTACTTTTAGTAATCCAATATAATGTATAAAAAAATAACATTTATGTTTGACATTTATACTATTTTTAGTTCAGTTTTATCCAAAACTAAAGGATTTATATTTTTTTCTGTATTCTAATGTCTCATACGAATATGTCTCCAACAAGCCTGCTATAGGGAAGTGCTAGTCTCCTATTAAAGAATTCAAGAAATTGTAAATTGTGGTTTAAACGAATAGCAATTTAACAGAGATGCACCTTTTCAGTTTTACTCTGCACCGAAGCAAAGCCAGAAATAATCCAAACAATGAGGGAAGAATGAGAAAAGAAAATACAGAAAATAATCAGCTCAAACTCAATCATACATATGAGCCTGACTTTGAAGATAACTAAGCTATACCTGGAGTGTGTTCATGATGGACAAGAGGTTGATTTGAATCTCTGGACTCGAAAGGGAAAAGAATACTTTTTGTTTACGAATGTCAATGACATCTCTCAGCCACACCAGAAGACAAGAAAGACAAGTCATAGTAAAGCTACCAGAGCCACGAATAGAATAAAAAGCAACCTGGAAGTTTCAGGATGCAATTCAATCCCTCTAGTTAACTTTAAATCTCAGGTGAAATATAAGATCTTCGATGATTAAGACACAGAAGTCAAGATTTAGATCTTTATTTGTTTGTATATTTTACCACCCTAACTATCAAATCCATTTTGTGTGTTCTGCACTGCTCTGCACCAATCAAAGATTACAGAATCTTAATAAAAATATAATAAAATGTATGCAAAATAGGACTGGCCATGTTTAATTATTTTATCTGTTTGTCAAATATGGTTGGTGCCACTTAGAATTGTATTGAATTTTTCAAGATTTAAGCTGGCGCTCAATTGAAACCGGTTTTAGGGGGATTTGAGACGTGGCTTAAATTCATTAAATTCAGACACTGAATACACAATACACGTGCTCATTGAGTAGACATTAATTTTTAACATTTAACTTTCTGTTCAGTTATTCTTTTCTTTTTTGCATTTATCAAGCTGCTAATTAACAATTTAGATTCTTTAACAGTGGCAATAGTCAATATATCCCTAACATTGGTTAGGTGCTTTCACTGTTATCAGTTGGTAAATTAAAAAAATAGTGCTTCTGGTTCAAAGAATGTTACTCAGCCCTCATGCAAAAACATTTTAGGTTGAGATCATAGATCTGGCATCCGTAATCAGCAGACCAAACACAGGAGAAACAACCTCAGAACACCACAAGGTGAACACATTTTTAACAAGATTGATTCCATTTTGCTAAATGCATTTTAATCATGCAACCTTATTTCCTTTATCAATAAAACCTAGGTTATATATATAAGCTCATTTAAAAAAGAAAACAGCTTCCTATTATAAACTTTATTCTAAAAATTAACCTCTAAGCTTGGGCCTCTGATTCTTAAATTGCTAATTGATATTTCTCATGAAAGCAGAATTAATTAATAAAATATTTAAACTTAGAGTTCCAGAGGGAGCAGAGATTCAATCCAAGTGTTAACCATGAATGGGTATGAGATTGGAACAGGTACTAAAGCAAATCTAGAAATATTAACAAGGTAGGAATAAATTATTGTAACTGAGTGTTTTAGGAGAGGAAACATCAGTTTTAGCTCAAGAAGCAGGATTCTTAAAGGCAGGGTTTAAATGTATAAAATACTTTTAGCATATCAATAATTTAATATTAGGAACAATTTAAAAATAATGTTTTTACATTTAAAATACCAATCTAGGGATGGCAGTCAAGACCAGATTCAAAAAACTCTCTGAAAAGTGATAACCATTCTAGGCCTAACTCAGCTCAAGACCCATTCAACTTTGAAGTTATTGGCACATCATTTGGTACATATAGACCTAGACGCTCATCTTCCTATGCCTCTAGACCATCTTCTTCCAAGAGTGTTGGTTCAAGACCTCCCTCAGCCAAAAGTAATAAGTCTTCAAGGCCAACATCAGCTAAAAGTAATAAATCTTCACGACCAACTTCAGCTAAAAGTATTGCAGGTTCAATATCATTTACAAATGAAGAGGAGAATCCAGCTGGAGAACAAGAGTTAGTAAATGGTGAAGATGAACCAGCTATGGAAGAAGAACCAGCTTTAGAACAAGATGCAGCTGCTGAAGAGGAAGCAGTTCCTGAAGAACAACCAGATGCAGAAGAAGAACCAGCTGCTGAAGAAGAGCCAGCTACTACAGAAGAACCTGCTGCTGGAGAAGAGCTAGCTGCTGAAGAAGAGCCAGCTGCTGAAGAACAGTCAGCTACTGAAGAAGAAACAGCTGCTGAAGAAGAAACAGCAGCTGAAGAAGAGCCAGCTACTGAAGAAGAAACAGCTACTGAAGAAGAACCAGCTGCTGAAGAAGAACCAGCTGCTGAAGAAGAACCAGCTGCTGAAGAAGAAACAGCTGCTGAAGAAGAGCCAGCTGCTAAAGAAGAAACAACTGCTGGAGAAGAAGAGCTAGCTGCTGAAGAAGAACCAGTTGCTGAAGAAGAACCAGCTGCTGAAGAAGAAGCAGCTGCTGAAGAAGAACTAGCTGCTGAAGAAGAACCAGCTGCTGAAGAAGAACCAGCTGCTGAAGAAGAACCAGCTGCTGAAGAAGAACCAGCTGCAGAGGAAGAGCTAGCTGCTGAAGAAGAGCCAGCTCCTGAAGAACAGTCAGCTACTGAAGAAGAAACAGCTGCTGAAGAAGAAACAGCAGCTGAAGAAGAAGACAAAACTGCTGAAGAAGAGCCAGCTACTGAAGAAGAAACAGCTGCTGGAGAAGAGCCAGCTACTGAAGAAGAACCAGCTGATGAAGAAGAACAAGCTGCTGAAGAAGAACCAGCTGCAGAAGAAGAGCCAGCTACTGAAGAAGACCCAGTTGCTGAAGAAGAGCCAGCTGCTAAAGAAGAAACAACTGCTGAAGAAGAACCAGCTGGAGAAGAAGAGCTAGCTGCTGAAGAAGAACCAGCTGCTGAAGAAGAACCAGCTGCTGAAGGAGAACCAGCTGCTGAAGAAGAACCAGCTGCTGAAGAAGAAACAACGGCTGAAGAAGCAACAGCCACTGAAGAAGAACAAGCTGTTGAAGAAGATCCTGCACTTGAGGAAGAAACAGCTGTTCAAGAAGAATCAGCTGCTGAAGAACCAACTGTGGAAGAAGAGCCAGCAACTGAAGAAGCACCAACTGTTGAAGAAGATCCTACACTCGAGGAAGAAGCAGCTACTGAAGAAGAACCAGCTACAGAAGAAGAACCAGCTGGAGAAGAAGAACCAGCTGCAGAAGAAGAACCAGCTGCTATAGAAGAAACAGATGATGAAGAAGAACCATCTGCTGAAGAAGAACCTGCTACTGAAGAACCAACTGTGGAAGAAGAACCAGGCACTGAAGAAGCACTAACCGTTGAAGAACATCCTGTACTTGAGGAAGAAGCAGCTGCTAAAGAAGAACCAGCTGCAGAAGAAGAACCAGCTGCTACAGAAGAAGAAGCTGCTGAAGAAGAACCAGCTGCTGAAGAAGAACCAGCTGCTGAAGAAGAACCAGCTGCTGAAGAAGAACCAGCTGCTGAAGAAGAACCAGCTGCTGAAGAAGAACTAGCTGCTGAAGCAGAACTTGCTGCTGAAGCGGAACTAGCTACTGAAGAAGCACCAACTGTGGAAAAAGATCCTGCACTTGTAGAAGAAGCAGCTGCAGGGGAAGAACCAGCACCAGAAGAAGAACCAGCTGCTATAGAGGAAACAGCTGCTGAAGAAGAACCTGCTGCTGAAGAAGAATCTGCTGCTGAAGAAGAACCTGCTGCTAAAGAAGAACCTGCTGCTGAAGAAGAACCTGTTGCTGAAGAAGAACCTGCTGCTGAAGAAGAACCTGCTGCTGAAGAAGAACCTGCTGCTGAAGAAGAACCTGCAGCTAAAGAAGAACCTGCTGCTGCAGAAGAAGAACCTGCTGCTGAAACAGAACCATCTGCTGAAGTAGAACTAGTAACTGGAGAGGAACCAGCTGCAGAAGGAGAACTTGCAGCTGAAGAAGAAGCTTCAGAAAGAGAACCAGCAGAGGAAGAAGAAGCTGGTGAAGAAGAACCAGCTGCTAAAGAAGAAGCTGCTGCTGGTGAGGAAGCAGCTTGTGCTGAAGAACTAGCTGCAGAAGAAGAACTAACAGCTGAAGAAGTAGCTGCCGAACAAGAAGCTGCTGCAGATGAAGAAGCAGTTACAGAAGAGCCTACTCCAGAAGAAGAACCAGGTGCTGAAGAAGAACCAGCTACAGAGGAAGAACCAGCTGCAGCAGAAGAATCAGCTGTTGAAGAAGAACCAGAAGCTGAAGAAGAACCAGTTGCTGAAGAAGACCCAGTTGCTGAAGAAGAACCAGCTGCTGAAGAGGAACCAGCAGCACCAGAAGAAACAAGTGCTGAAGAAGAACCAGTTGCTGAAAATGAAGAAGCTGTTGAAGACGAAGTAGCCGTTGAAGAAAAAACAATTGCTGCAGAAACTGACAATCATGTAACTCCAGAAGATATGGAGATGATAGTGAAAGTATTTGATCTCTTTGATAAGGATCATTCTGGGTCAATGTCTTCCCTGGAGCTTGGGAAATTGATGAGATCTTTAGGTGAATCTTGGAATTTATAACTGTAATTTTTTTCAACAGCTATAAAATAAATACATTTCCAGGTTTATACCCTACGGACAATGAAGTGAATGAGATTATAGTGAACCTGGATAAGAATGGAACTGGCGCAATTGAACTTCAAGAGATAACAAACTTTATGACAGTTCAGGTATTTTCGTGATGTTGAATTGTGAGGATGTCTTTACTTTAATTGTAAGTAGACTTTTTAAACAAAATATTTATATTCCTGATTCATGATACATGTTTACAATTTTTTTGTTACATAATAGGTTTTACATTTTTATTATTTTTATTAAATTTTACATTACTATTACTTTTACGAGTTACGTTAAATGGATTGGTTTTCAATGAAGTTAAATTATTTTTGCTGAAATTTAGACTTCTGTATTTTAGACTAAAACAAAAATAAATACACAGTATTAATTATTCCGTGCTTGTTGACATTTAAAGGTGTTCACATATCACGTGTAAAATAATTCAGAAGTTAATTTAGTCTTTATAAGATAATTTTTGTTTTCATTGATTTATTTTGTAGGTTATAAAAATGAGTTTTGGTTTGAATTGTGGATTATATTCAAAAACGGGAAAAAGGGTTTTGCCTCGAAAACGTGACAATGTTTTTAATTTAGAGATTTCATATTAAAGAACTTTTATTATAATTTAGATTTTTTAAAAAAGTTTTAAATTGGGAATTGTTGTCCTCAACATGTTTAATAAAATGTTGGTTATAAATTTTATTTTCAACTTTTACTCTGGATATGGGCCAGGATCCCAGAAACCAGTCTTTCAATTTCTGATATTTATTTGTAAGTAGACTAAAAACACAATTTGTGGAGCGATATTTTTTACATTAATTCAAAATAAAGAATTGTAATAAAATCCTGCTGGTTTGGGAGAAACCCATCACTCATTTTATAGATTTATAATTTTCAATTGATTTTCTACATTCCCAGGCTATACTTGGCAAAGTCTCATAAATTATGTATTATCCTCAAACAGTCAATTTGATCAAGGTTGATGATGCCTGGGAAATGTTAAAAGGTATTTAACCAAACATCGATACAACAATCCTAAAAAAATGCTATTTTGATAAGATTTTGACTTCAAAGGGATTAACAATCTTAAAATGTTAAAGAGACTATTAACAATTTTCAACACTTCTCTTATTGATGATAATTCCTTTCAGCTCGAAGAGAGCAAAGCAAGAGATGCTGTAGAGGACTTTACAAAAGCTTTCAGAGTCTTTGATGGTGATGGAAAGTAAGTATTTCCCCTGATAGTTCTGGAACTCTATAATATTTCAATTCTAAATTTATTTAATTTCATGAAAAATTTACAAAATCATTTGATAAAAAAGTATTGGTGGTTTAAATTGTTTAAAATATTCAGATTTAAGTTTTACCAGCTGAAGTGCCCGGCGTTGTCCATAGAATTTTTAAAAATGAAATATTAAAAAATAAAAATTCTAATTGATTTTTGAAGAAACAAAGTTTAGAAGTTTGTTTTTGCTTTGGTACTCACATGTTTCCTCAAGAAATTTTAGCCAATTTGGTTCAGCCGTTTGACCCCCTATAGCTATATACATACAAAATATATATATATATATATATGGGTAAAAGGCTTTTTTATATAGATTACAATATTTGTCTTATTAATATGAATTAATAAAAGATTTAAAATAACATTCCTGGTTGGACTTAAGGTCAATTAATTAATTTATTAATTAGTTAATTAATTACTATTAAAAGTGGAAGAATTAGTGGAATAGAACTGAAGAAAATATTGACGGAAAAAGGAACAATGAAACTAACACTAGAAGAAGCAGATGAACTAATAGGTATTCTTATTCTTTATTTTTTAATCTAAATTTTCCTTTTTTCAAAAGAAATTTTAACTCGGTATTTAAATACCCAGTTTTGTAGGAAACTATTTGTTACGCGAGCCATGCTGCGTGTAGAAAGTCTGCTTGTCACCCCTGGGTATTTCTGAGTTCTCCCTGAAGATCTGTACGGAATGTATTGTGAAAGAACTAGTTTAGGAACTGTTTACAGTCCGACTGCGCAGACGCAAGATTTCTAGCGGAGTAGTAGTTATATTTATATTCAGTATATGTTTATTCGTTTTGCAAGTATTTTCCGTGTTCAGAATTCTGGGATCACCGTGGTAATTATTTTATATATATCTATGTTTATTGGTTGATTCTAGTATGATTGATGATTATGTATTCGTTTATTGGTTCCTAGCCACAGTTTTTTAATGCCTGAGTGGATTATTTGTTATATTTGTATGATTTTCACTCAAAGCTTTTTCTGTGGGTTTATTAAACTTGTTTAGATTGAAGGCTCAGAGAAATAAACGTTCGGAACCTTACTATCTTCCTTTTTATTATGAAGAGCGTTGAGAGAAGGGAGTCTTACGATCCAATCCTGAGAAATACCACACGGTACATATATTAGGTCTTTAGGGAAATCGCTAAGTAGCGAAACACTATTTTCAATTTAATTTAGTTTCTTGTTTACTTTTCCAGTTTTTCTTTAAAATTTGCTTATTGTTAAATTATTGAGAATGCTGTTTGGTTTTTAACTTTGATTTAGATTTTCTATTATTTCAAAATGATACTTTATGTATAGTTTTGCTTTTCTTTTATTGTAAATTTTGATTTAAAAAGGTTCACATTCTCTAAACTACCTGAGTCACAGTGCAGAGCAAATGGCCACGAATGGACTGAGAACATTTCTAATCTATATAAACCTTGATCACTTTTAAGGAATGGTGGATCTAGATGGGGATGATCTTTTAAACTACAATGAATTTGTAAATCTTTTTACAGAAAAACTTATTCTTTAATCTATGGACCTGTAGCTAGTAAATAATTGACGTTGTTCCACACATAAGGTTAAAGTGCACACATAAGTGTACACTAAGTGTACTGTAAAACAAAGACGACATTGTCTTACTTTACAGATCAAAATACCAAAGATGATTGAAAAAGCATTATTTTATTAAATAAAACCTACCGAACACAAACTATACTTATCAAGAAATGCCGTTTATAATATCACAAGAATTTATCAATGTGTATCTTGTTGTAAAAAAAACAGTTTCTTACAGGATTACCCTCAAAGGATGAGACTTCAAAGACGACTGTACGGAATATGTTTAGTCTGATTATTTACATTCAGGTTTCCTTGTATGCCAAAACTGGTTTATTTCTGTGCTTAATCATATAGTAAACCATCAAATTACTCAATTACATGCTGAAACCAAAAATCAAGCTGCAAATCCTCATATTTGTAGAGTTTTGGGTCGTTTCTACAGTCTCATCCTTTGTGGGTAACCCTTTAGGTAAATAAGAAAATAAAAGTCATGTGATCCAATTTACAAAATTATTTAAGCAATGTCTAAATTAAACATGGCAAACCAAGTTAAACTAAAAGGATTATCTGCATTAAAACTAGTTCTAATTTGAAAAAAATATAATAATAACATTTACAATAAAAAACATTTGAAAGTCATCTGTAACTAATTGCCACATCAAAATTTAGGTTATAAACGAATATGTTTCTTCCAGATTTACCAGAAATCATTTGTAATTAATATCTGCAATACACCTGTGTCAATTTAAATTAACAATTTTTTTCTTCTAAAAAATACAAAAAATTATTATTTTTTTTTTGGATTGTATAATATAGTCTTATCTGACTTAGATGTAATCTGAGATAAATTGTTTCTTTTCTATTTTTGTTCCTTCAATATTTCAAGTTCAAATTTTATATTCCTTTCCTTTAATAACCCTCAAGGTTGAGGTTTTCTTTATTTATACTTTACTACACACATTAAACTTGAAATTGATACACTCAAACCAACCAAGAAAAGAGGTTTGTTTATGTGATACACACTGCAGGGTAACTTTCATTACGTTTAACTCACATTCCTAGTTTAATCGTAAATTGTTTAAATATATAACCTTGCAAGCTAGTTTTATTTAATTAGCAACAATTTTTTATAAAAAGTGACGAAAATCTTGTTTAAAGGGACTGTAGAACAAATCTTGTTTAAAGAGACTGTAGAACAAATCTTGTTTAAAGGGACTGTAGAACAAATCTTGTTTAAAGGGATTGTAGAACAAATTTCAAGTGACTCTCCATGTACAGAGTGCAATGTTGGATTCCCAACAGATACCCTTTAAACATCTGTATAAGATATAATGAGAAAAATATTTCTAGTTTTTTTCTATCTTAGATTCTGTAAATTTACTGCATTGTATTTGCAGCATAAATGCCACGCTTTTATTGGAGGGTCATTTGAAATAAAGCCTACCCCGTCAAATTACCATGATTATATGATAAAAAACAATCAAACCAAAAAGCTCGAATTGATTAATCTATGTTTTCTATAAAAGAAACTAAATGATGCTATGCTATCATATGATATTTGTAAACCGTCCCATGTTTAAAAATTAATCAGGTTTTTTAAAATTTATTTTATTATATGTACAATGCAACAAGTAAACCTATATATTTATATACACAAAACTATACTTTAAGCATTTAGAACAGAAATAAAATCTATAGATGTTTCATTTTTTAGACAATTAGTTTTTGAAGTGTAATTGTTAAAAATACAAAACATACTTACGATATATGCCAAGACATACAATCATTTATTTCAATTACAGTAATCATGGACTTCAATAATTTTTTCCACGAATTTTTATATTTGTAAACAATTTTTTCGTATCAGAAACTTTTAAAAAATATTTTATAATTTTCCTTTTTAACGTTTCCTGCAAAAACAAATGTATTCATCTATTATTTTGACTGACTTTGTTTTTATTTGTTATAAAACAGGGGCTAAGAAGAATAGAACATCCAATAAAAAATAATAAGCATATTATTTAGAAAAAAAATTACATTCTGCTTGCACATTTTACTTGAATAAGCGTTTCTCGAGGGTTCCAAATTCGAATGAAATGAATGGACTAAACACATTTAAACATTGCATTTATAGTAAATGGTTAGTGGTTACAGATATTTATCAATTTATGACTTCAAATGAAATAAAAGTATGAAGCAGTATAATTAAATAAGACTATTTGGTACAGTTTAGGGTTCAGTTGGGCTCATTAAACTATGGAATAGAAAGACTTTTAAAAGATATTTTAGAAGTAAATTTCTTGCTTCTATATAGATATAAATACATTATGAATAACGAGGAGAGGAGAGAAGAGGAGAGTAAACAATTTTGTTCTAACGCGAATAGTTTTACCAATAGCTTTAAAACAAACTTAGAAATTTAAATGGGTCTAATTATACATTGCGCAAATGCTGTATTTTTTTTCATTTAACATTCAAAGTCATAAGCTGAAACAAACGTCTTCCCAATCCATAGATTTCTGGGTCCCACTGCATTTATAAAAAGCATAAAGTTTCTAAAAGATTTCACTACTGTCTGATCTAGGAAGACATTGAATTGAATTGAACCAAGCCAATTAGTCCCAATAAAAGCCCGGATAAGGACAGAATAGTTCCAGAGTTTGAAAAACCTCTCGACACCACATGTCTGTTTTTCGGACTCTGATACTTGAATCCATCACTGAGATTTACACTAACCGCCTCCTGTTCATTCACTTTTTTCTGTTCAATGACAGATTCCTGTTCGTTTGGCGGGTTTTCCAGGTTTTCTATCTCCTGCTTAAAACCTGATTCTTGATCAGGTTCTGATTCATATCCTGATTCAGGACTTTCATCTGGGTTCTGTTCAAGCCCTGATTCCTGCTCATCTCCTGATTCCGGTTCATGACCTGACTCCTGTTCATCTCCTGACTCCTGTTCATCTCCTGATTGATGTTCATCTCCTGATTCCTCATCGTGTTCTCCTGACTCCTGATATTCCTGATTCTGATCCTGATCCTGATCTTGATTCTGATCATGACCCTGATCCTGATCTTGATCCTCTGGGTTTATTTCGTAGTACTGTTGATGAATTGTCAACTCCTCTGCGTTTTCTCCTGAAAAAAGATTATTCAGGATTTAAATCAGATTTGTACAAAATCTCGGTAAAATAGGAAATGTAAAGGAAAGAAAGATGTAAATTGAAAATAAAAAAGAACCAACAAAAATAATGATACCTTGAGAAATAGAATATTTGTGATTTGTCTCTGCATCAAAAATATCTAAACAAAAAAAGCTTTAGAGACACTGAAGTGTAATTTCAAATGACCCTTTATGCAAATCTGACAATGCCCGATTCACAACAGCATCCTTGAAACCTTTATCTAATCAGTAATTATAAACATTAATATCTAATTCATATTTGATCAGTCAAAGCTTTTAAGATTCGGGCATAGAGGCTCACTTTATAATACGAGTACAGTCCCTTTAAAGTAAAAATATTATTGTTTTGCTTTTCTGAAAAATTCAACTCATTGATTACTCATCGATAAAATTTGTTATTTCATTTTTTAATGAGAAATTTCAAGTTTCATAGTGATGAAAGTAGACTAATATTGATGCAAGCAAAGTACGAGTATACAAATATTAAAAACAAAGTACGAGTATACAAATATTAAAAACAAAGTACAAGTATACAAATATTAAAAAACAAAGTACGAGTATACAAATATTAAAAAACAAAGTACGAGTATACAAATATTAAAAACAAAGTACGAATATACAAATATTAAAAAACAAAGTACGAGTATAAAAATATTAAATGAAAGAATGAAGATAAATGAATATATTCTTGTTGATTGATTGAGATTCTCCGAAAAATATTATTATGAAAATATTTGATTAAAACGATGAACATGTAGGCGCAACAGAAGGGATGGAGGAGGGGGGGGGTCGAATCTTTTCATTTATTTACTTTCCTTCTTATTTTCTACATAGATTACTAGCTTGGAAAGCCAGCATTGCTGCAGGGTACTCATGGTTCCTCCCACCGAATGGTCTTAAATTACGATTTTAGCTATTTAGCTATTATGGACCCGCTCAACTATAGAATTTCAAACCAAGCTAAGAACATTGCCGAGATTCTCCCCAGTTTACCAATCAAAATTTGAGGCAAATCAGTCAAGGGGTTCATAAGTTATAAGCGGAAATACGATCAGAAATTACAACTTTATATACAGAGCGTTCCATATCACATTAGATTATCTCCAAGTTTTAACGCCAAAATAATACCATAATACTGAAAAAAAAACTTCAGTGAAACCCTTAATAACGAATACATCAGAAGAATTTATTAAATGTCGTTTTGACAATTTTTAAATGAGTTTTATACTATATTTCGTAAATTTCACTATTTGCGAAAATAAATAAATAGCCATGAATATGCGGGAACAGTTTTGAAGAGTTCCATATAATCATTTAATTAAAAAACTGCATAACTGCAACATTCCATTAACAGATTAAGTGAAGAATACGACATTTGATGAATTCTTTCGATGTATTCGTTATTAAGGGTTTCACTGGAGTATTTTCCGCAAGAAAATTCTTATATTAGCCTTATTAAATTTTTCAAAACGATTCATTCTTTTAAAATTTTTTTGATTAGTCCCTAAAATCGTAATTGACGATCTAATATGATGTGTAGGACACCCTGTTTATAGATTATTAAAAATAACTCGTCTTACAAACACAATTAGAAAATCAGTAAAAACAAATTTGAAAAATAAAGTGCAATTACTTTTGAAATGAAACCGTAACATATCGAAAATATTACAGAATATTTGTCTTGGCACCAAAATAAAATTTAAAGAAAGACGACATTTGTTTTCGAGTTTAATTTCATAGACTTTTTAGGAGTAGTTAGAGCATAGTTAGAGTTAACTAAAATCAAATCTTTAAAATTTGTTTTCAAGATTAGAGAAAGCTAAAGATTACCTGTACCATTACCTGTACCTTTACCTGTCCCTGTACCTGTACCTGTATGCTCTTCAAGAAATTTATTTGTTTCAAAATCCATATCAGTCAATACAGAGGGTTCATCGTTCTAATCAGTACATAATTATATCTTCTATTTAAGTTTTGTTTTCTAACAATCAAAAAAATATATTTTTGGTTTATCTTGTACGGGGAAAATGTTCGTAGAAAGTAATACAGTCACAACCAAAATAAAGCGGATTAAATGTCGTTTTTGTTGAATCTTTTAGTCAGGAAGACAGCTAACACTTCTTTAATTTGTGACGGTTATGAATGATATATCTATCAGAATGATCAGAGCTCAATTTTAGAGTTATAAAAGTTACCTGTTATGAGAAATAAATCCTAAAAGACTTAAAAAAGACGACTTTCATTCCTCTTTACGATGCCTTTACATTTTGATAGAATACTTAGAACTAGATTATAAATGTTTCCTCATGAGAATAGAATATTTTAGCTCCGTCAGCGTTTTCAGGTTCATCATCTTCTGCAGCCTTTTCAGGTTCATCATCGTTGGCAGCCTTTTCAGGTTCATCATCTTCGGCAGCCTTTTCTGGTTCATCATCATCAACACTGTTTCCAACATCGTCAACAGCACCTTCTAAAAAATCAAACCATGGTATTGATAGTAAAGTATGATTTGTATATTTGTTTATAATTTTGAAAACTGATTTTTTTCCTTTGAGGGTTTTCTACAAAAGTGACCTGCAGAAAAACAATACAGCTTTGATCAGAATTAAACAATTTTTATTATGAACCAGATAAAGGTTTAAAATGTATCATTGTTAATCTGGTTAATGTGGTTAATCTGGTTAATCTGGTATGCTCCTCTTTAAATAGAGATTCACTAGATAGTTTCTTTAATTTTCATGATACAGACCTGCTGCAGCTTCTAGTTCATCATCTTCTACATCTCCATGTTCATAATCATGTTCAAGGTCAGCTTCTTCATTGGTAATGTCATCATTTGTAAGGTGATTTTCCATGTTGTTAAACTTTTCTAAATAAAAAATTTGCTGCAATAATAATGTATTTTAATTAAAATAAATAAAAAGTTTGAAGCCTCACTTGATAGAAATTGAATGAAAACAAAATGTTGGGTTTGTCTCTCATGATATTGTTGCATGTTTTAAACAAGTCCTTATTATTTTAAATATTCAAGCATTCAAATACTTGCATTGTTATAAACTAAACACTAAAATATGCACATTTTTTCACGCTAGAGTAATGGAAACAGAACTGTATTAGATTTGGTTCTAAACAAACATTTTTAGCATTATTATTAAATACTGTTTGAATAACAACAACAAAAAGGAATTTCTTTATTAATATTAATAATTAAAAATGTCACAAAAAACACTTTACAAAGGAATTGAGTTTTTGTCACAAACTCTGATTTTCTTATCCCTATATCTTTGCATTTCAATGTCGGAGACCTTAGATATTTCAAACTATAAATCATTTTAGTTCAAATAATAATAGTTTGAAATGTCAAAGGTTAACACCATCAGGTTGCAAAGATATAGCGATTTGAAAATCAGAATTTGTGGCTAAAACTCAGTTGTTCCTTTTTGTTGAATCTTATCAATCTTTGAATTCTTTATTATTTATTATTATTATTTATTGGAGGTTTCATCTTAATTTTTTTCTGAGCGTAAACAATTTTTGATAAGTTTAAGCAAACTAAGACAAAGGTGAGAATTAGAAGAAGATATTTAAGCAAAATTTGTGTATTTGATATTGTTAAAAAGTAGAATATTCTATCGGTTAGTTGCTAGGAAATTAACTTATAATGTGAACACTACACAATTGCTATGGTGAGTAAAATCATAACTTCTGTCTTAAAGTCGTCTTTCGATTCCACAGTTTTATATGTCCCACTGTAAAGATCATGTAAGAATTTATATTAAAGTGGAAATTTTTTTTCATATAAGACATAAAAATTAAATTTAGTCTGAACTAATATTGAAACTAAAATTTGAAGGTATCTAATTACTTTAGTTGAAAAATTTATTGAGATTTAAATTTTATTTCACTCTTGGTTTTCATATATCTATATTTGTGCATGTTGTTTAAAAATGGAGCGGAAATCACGATTAATAAATATATAAATCTCAATGAAGAATAACAATGATTTGTCAATGAACACAGGAAACTCTAGATTACAATGAGGAGGAAAACACAATAGTTACCAACCAAACAAATAAACAAATAAACTTTTTAGAAGGAAGTCCCGTACAACATACCATCTTTATTCATAACAAAATGGGAACTTCTTTCTATCTTTTTCCTACTCTGTGCTTTATCCCTCAATTTTACTTTTCCCTACAGGGTACAACCATCGCTGAATTTTTAAGAGAAATTGATAAAATCCATAGGATTGTACAAGATAGCTACTTGATCAGGGATTCAAAACTCAAAAGTTTGACCTATAGCAGGACTTTATGTTTACATGTATTAAAATTTTGCTTTTCAAACTTTATCAAATTCATAAAAAAACTCTAATTGAAAATGCTTTAATTCCTTTACCCAAAATATATTTTGATTTAATCAGATATTTTTTACAGATAAAGTCCAGACTAAAAGAAGTGTCTTGTTAATTGTTCAACAAAAAAAGACTTATATCTTGTTGATATAATTTAGTAATATTAACAGAAAACTTTATCAGCAGATATACATAGATAGATTACAGGTCTGTTAAAAACGCAAAATAAAAAATTACCAAGTTCTGCGTCAACTTCAGGAATTTCATTCGTCTCAATATCAGAGCTGTCAACTTCTTCGCTGTCAGAACTGTCATGGCTGATCTGATCAGAGTTGTCAGCCCCTTCCTCATCTGATAAATTCACGTCAGCACTAGCTTCCAATAACTCCTCAGAGATGTTAGCCATTTCACCAAAATCATGTTCTACTGATTCTTGGGATATTGACTCATGATCTGAACTGTCTTGGTCAGCTGTTTCTTGATGAGCTGTTTCATGATCAGCTGATTCTTGATCAGCTGGTTCATGATCAGCTGTTTCTTTATCAACTGTTTCTTGATCAGCTGTTTCTTGATCAGCGGATTCTTGATTAGCTGATTTGGGTAGAGATAAAACATATTCTATATTGTTGATGTCTGCTATTGTTTTATTCCCTGCGACCTAAACTAACCAATAATGAATAAATTAAGATCTAAAAAGGTAAAAGTGGGAGATCTTTAAGCTTACAAGTCTAGTATATGTAAATATATAAATGGTTAACCACAAAGGATGAGACTGTAAATACACCCCATAAACTCTATTAATCTAACGATTACAAGGTTTAGTTCAGTTAAATATAATCTTTTAATGACTTATTGAATGAGTTTATAAAGAAAGAAACAAGTTTACAGTTGCAGGGAATCATAATTAGAAGGAAATTGACAACATAAATTTTCTTACAGTCGTCTCTGAAGTTCAATCCTTTGTGGGTAACCCTGTATGTATTGTGTATATGTATTTACAATATATACAGTTTAGTGAGTATAAAGGATGTGCAATGTGCATTGTGCATGTTCTGTAGTGTATACAATGTGGAGTTACGCTTTCTGAACATCTATTAAAACAAAAATTCATCAAAATATGAATTCATTTAAAATTGACAATATTATTAAAAATGCGATTAGGATGAATGAATGAATGATTTATTAAATATTATTAAATTTGGTCAAATTAATGCATAACTCCAAAGTCTTCTGCAGATAAAACTTAAATCGCTATTGAATATAACAAATATTCAGATTGGAAATCAAGTATATATATATATATATATCTGTATTATTTTTACTTATACATAGGTTTAATGGGTACTGTTGTGAACATAGAGAATAGAATATATATTAGAGGGGAATTTAGAGAATCTCTCGATATGAATTTTTTCAGTCTCTTTCAGCCTATATTCCCTAGACTATCCATTTCAATTTAGAATTTTGTAAAGCTGTTAAATAAACTTTATAATGAATTAGGTGAATAAAAAACATCATTTGATTTATAGTTATAATGGAAAATCATCGTTTGTAAAGTGAAAGACATAGAGTCTATGTGAAATGATCATTGATCAATTATGAAACCAGCCTATTTCATAATTTGGTTTTCTTTTAACATTAATTTTAGATTTTCTATAAAATGATATTCCAGGGGCCAAAAGGTTATACAGCATAAATATGTGAAGTTCACCTGCAGTATGGAAACAGTACAACAAAATGGCCGTTTTACACTTTTTTCTAGTAAATTCCCCTCTAATATATATTCTATTCCCTTTGGTTGTGAATCAGGTTTGTATATCTTTAAAAAGAGCCGTACAGCTTGTGTACGGTCCTATTAAACTACAAATGATTACAAAAATATATGTTTCTTTAAAACCAAAAAAAGATATGTTAATTAATTGGTTCCTGAATTTCAAGTTTCCGGTCATCACAGCACAGGTTGTTGTTACAGCAGTACTGTCCGGTATGCCAACTGTAATAATAGATAATAAAGAGAATAGAGTCACGACTTTTAAAGAAAATACACATTGCTAAAAGTCTGTTCGATATAATTATTGGGACTTTTGTTTACAGGCCTGGAAGACGACCGGTTATTCAGTAAACAATCATGTTTGAATGTAATGTGCACACACACAAGGTGTTAAAAAGAATTAGAAATTATAATAATTAACTTTTAATGTTTTTATTCTGACAGTTATACCACAATTCAAATACATCTCTTAACATAATTATTCAGAAATACTAAGTTAATACTTTTAATGAGGTTCAGTAAAAAAACGTTAAGAATACTGCGACTTAATAAAAACGACCATTTTGAGAAAGCCAAATTTATTTTGTTACATATAAGTAATTCATAACTTTTTTTTCAATATTTTTTCAAAGAGGGGTTATGATTAAAAACATGGAAGATTTTTATTTTCTTTTGTTTCACGTGATTCATCTGTAAAACACACATAAACAATTTTCAGGTACGTTATGTAAAGTTGATATTAAAAATATTTTACTAATGAAAATGAACATGCCAACGGTGTCTACACCTGTTTTTATCCCTAGAGCAATAATAAAAAATTGTTTTGTTTTTATCCCTAGGTAATAATAAGAAATACCTTCTACACTGCATATCTGAGAAACAGGAAAAATTCTGCCATTGTCTAGAGGAAGAATCAAATATAAATTTTAATGAGAATCAAATTATTTATCTGAAAAATGTACGCTCATGATAGTTTCAATTAACTTAACTCTAGATTAAAGTAACATAATTACATAATGTAACCTATTCTTATCTCGTTAATATATTTGGGAGGGAAAAAAACCCTATTCGAGTTCTTAAACGGTATTTGGAATAACGCCATTATTATTTGACCCCTTTGCCACAAATATAATTTTCTTATCCCATTATCTGTGCACCTCAATGTCGCAAACCTTAGAAATTTCAAACTGTGAATTCTGTTAGATCAAAAAGTATAAGTTTAAAATATAAAAAGTGCACACCATCAGGTTGCAAAGATATAGAATATAGAAAATTTGAGTTTGTGGCAAAGACTCAATTCCATTGGTCATGAATGGTTCTAAGAAACATATTTGAGAAGTAAAGATTAGGCATGTTTGTATTTATAATTGTAAATTTCTTGGAAGGGAAAAAATGTTTTTGTTCAAACGCTAAATGTTAGAAGGTGCAACAAATGCATATATTTTCGAGATAATTTGAAAACATTAAAGTTGCATTTTTATTATTTTTTTAAAAATATTTTTACTAGATCATAAATAATTCACACAGCACAGATAAAATGATAAAATAAAATTCATTACAGTACATGGGGGTCACAATACCATTCATTAAAGTACATGGGGGTCACAATACCAATCATTAAAGTACATGGGTGTCACAATACCAATCATTAAAGTACATGGGGGTCACAATACCAATCATTAAAGTAGATGGGTGTCGGTGTCACAATACCAATCATTAAAGTGCATGCGGGGGTCACAATACAACTAATTACAGTACATGGGTGTCACAATACAATACATTAAAGTACATGGGTGTCACAATACAACTAATTACAGTACATGGGTGCCACATAAAAATTAAAATAGATTTTTCAATCGGCTTCGATCAAGATATAAACCTCTTCTAGAATCTAACCTGAAATAGGAAGGAGAGCAACAATACATTCCACAACAATAATCCCCATAATTACAATCCTTATGCTGGCTACAGGTGGAAACCTAGTAATAGGACCTCATGAAACTATTCAATAATAGGAACTCATGAAACTATAGGAGAATAGGAACTCATGAAACTATTCAATAATAGGAACTCATGAAACTATAGGAGAATAGGAACTCATGAAACTATTCAATAATAGGAACTCATGAAACTATAGGCGAATAGGAACTCATGAAACTATTCAATAATAGGAACTCATGAAACTATAGAAGAATAGGAATTCATGAGACTATAGGAGAATAGGAATTCATGAAACTATAAGAGAATAGGAACTCATGAAACTATTCAATAATAGGAACTCATGAAACTATAGAAGAATAGGAATTCATGAAACTATAGGAGAATAGGATTTCACGAAACTATAGGAGAATAGGAATTCATGATACTACAAGAGAATAGGAACTCATGAAACTATAAGAGAATAGGAACTTCAATAATAGGAACTCATGAAACTATAGAAGAATAGGAATTCATGAAACTATAGGAGAATAGGATTTCACGAAACTATAGGAGAATAGGAATTCGTGAAACTATAAGAGAAAAGGAACTCATGAAACTATAGGAGAATTGAAACTCATGAAATACAGGAAAATAGGAACTCATGAAATTATAGGAGAATAGGAACAAATGAAACTATAGGAGAATAGGAACACATTAAACTATAGGAGAATTGGCACTCACGAAACTATAGAAGAATATATGAACTCATGAAACTATTGGAGATTAGGAACTAATGAAACTGTAGAAGAATAGGAACACATTAAACTATAGGAGAATAGGAACACATGAAACTATAGGAGAATAGGAACTCATGTAACTATAGGAGAATAGGAACTCATGAAACTATAGGAGAATAGAAACTGATGAAACTAGGAGATTAGGAACTCATGAAACTATAGGAGAATAGGAATTCATGAAACTACAAGAGAATAGGAACTCATGAAACTATAAGAGAATAGGAACTCATGAAACTATTGGAGAATAGGAACTCATGAAACTATAGAAGAATAAGAATTCATGAAACTATAGGAGAATAGGATTTCACAAAACTATAGGAGAATTGGCACTCACGAAACTATAGGAGAATATATGAACTCATGAAACTATTGGAGAATAGGAACTAATGAAACTATAGGAGAATAGGAACTCATGAAAGTACATTTAGGATAATTGGCACTCATGAAACTATAGGAGAATAGGAACTCATGAAACTACATATAGGATAATTGGAACTCATGAAACTATAGGAGAATAGGAACTAATGTAACTATAGGAGAATAGAAACTAATGTAACTATAGGAGAATAGGAACTAATGAAACTATAGAAGAATAAGAATTCATGAAACTATAGGAGAATAGAATTTCACAAAACTATAGGAGAATCGGCACTCATGAAACTAAAGGAGAATATATGAACTCATGAAACTATTGGAGAATAGGAACTAATGAAACTATAGGAGAATAGGAACTCATGAAACTATAGGAGAATAGGAACTCATGAAACTATAGAAGAATATATGAACACATGAAACTATTCAATAATAGGAACTCATGAAACTATAGGAGAATAGGAACTCATGAAACTATAGGAGAATAGGAACTAATGAAACTATAGGAGAAAAGGTATTCATGAAACTATAGGAGAATAGGAATTCTTGAGTATATATGACAAGTATGGAACATAAAGAACACTACCAGGACTGCAGGATCTTGTTAAAGAAGATGTAAACTATGAAGTATTTTTAAAACAAGTTTACAAAAGTACATTAATCATGTTTTTTAAAAACAATGAACCATATTTAAGAGCTATGGATAATGTTTTTAAAAAGCAAAGAAAAAAGTGTTAAATTCTTGAATCACGTTTAAAAGCAATAAAACATGTTAAAACTATTGAATCATGTGTTTCCTGATAATTGGAGAAACAAATCCCATGATCAACCTCCCGCAGGTTCCAATGCCTAGACAGTACAATTCAAAACTAATTTTAGAAAAATATTAAGGAAAAAGTGAAAAATATAAATAGGAAGAAGTGAAAAATATATAGGAAGAAGTGAAAATATATAGGAAGAAGTGAAAAATATATAGGAAGAAGTGAAAAATATATAGGAAGAAGTAAAAAATATATAGGAAGAAGTGAAAATATATAGGAAGAGTAATAGAAGTGAAAAATGCACATTAGCCTCTAAAACGGAAATTGTAGCCACAATAATCGTTACAAGTTTTCAATAACAATATTCAAAGTACATAAAAGTATTTTTTTTTTGAATTAAAGACACTGTAGACGTAATTTACAGAGATCAGGTTTACAGGTTACCGTTTTGAATCGAGCATACATTTTTTTTATTTAACGGATGGTCACTTGAAATTACCGTTGTGAATAGGGGATACCCCTCTTGCAAAAACAGTCCCTTTAGCTTGAATATTACCTAAAGCATTTGTCTCCTTGCTGACATTGCCAATCAGATTGACAATGAGGATGAAGAGGGTTGGGGTCAACCCAGTTGTGGCAGTAGTAGAGGAAACAGGAATACTTGTGCCCTCAACACAAATATTATTAGTAGAGGAAACAGGAATACTTGTGCCTTCAACACAAATATTATTAATAGAGGAAACAGAAATACTTGTGCCTTCAACACAAATATTATTAATAGAGGAAACAGGAATACTTGTGCCCTCAACACAAATATTATTAGTAGAGGAAACAGAAATACTTGTGCCCTCAACACAAATATTATTAGTAGAGGAAACAGAAATACTTGTGCCCTCAACATAATTATAAATCAATTCAATTTATAGAGAAAACTGCACAATTTTGTAATTTGTCATCTTTATAACTAATTCATGACGTTTTTTTTGGTTTAAACAAAAATTTCATTTAAACCTAAACACAAGGAGAAGGAAAAATCTAAATGATTTTTGTAAGTTAAGAGAATTTATTTTTAATTAATTTTTATACTTAAATTTCTTTCTTATTAGATGATTTGTTTGCTGTATAGTCTCAATACTTTTATATTACTCTTAACTTTAATTACAAATTAAATTAAATCTTATTTATTTTAAAACTGACTTAAAACATGTTTCACTTCAAAGTGAGAAATTATTAAAAATAATTGTGCAAACCTAATTTATAATGTCAACTGAAAAAAATGTGGATTGTTATTAATCTGATCTAACACGGCATGCAAGCTGCAAGTTTAAACACTTAAATTCTACAAATGTAACATGTGTTATGTAGACAACAATTTAATCTCCTGTTCAACGAAATAACCAACCTTAAATTCCCTCCTTTTTTATTTCCAGGGAGGATAATTACTTATCCTCCCTATTTACAGGGAGGATAATTACTTATCCTCCCTCTTTACAGGGAGGATAAGTAATNATTAAGGGAGGATAATTAAATTGAGGGGAAAACCACTTAGCCGAGGGCCTCCAAGACCTTTTTGGGGTTCTAAACCTCACGAGCGTAGCGAGGGAGGTTTAGAACCCCAAAAAGGTCGAGGAGGCCCAAGGCTAAGTGGTTTTCCCCTCAATTTAATTATCCTCCCTTAATCTCCCGGTTAAGTAGTAATTAATAGTTATAAAACATTTTTGCTACTTTTCAATACAGATTACCAACCCAATATTCCCCCAAAAGAGGGCCGTTAAGTAAAATGACAATCCAATTCATGCAATTTTGATGTTTATTATATCGTTAGACCTGACGAGGATCAACCCAGACCGAAATATATTTTCAATAAATGTGGAACTAACATCTACTTTTTTACTCTACCGAGGTTTGGTCCATCACCATCACCGAATTTTAAATCCAATTCATGCATTTTCAGTTGAAAAGACAATAAAGTTGCGTATAACTACTTTTTCGATATGTTTTTTGGGCAAAATTGGTCTTTGGGACCCTTGGTAAAGTATTATCTCCATAACTTCCCAGTAAAGTAGTTGTACATTATTATTATTAATACTTCTCTCTTTGACCAATAAAAAATGATTTTGCTGAATTATTAAATATTACCTCACGGTCCAAGGATTCCAAAAAAGCAATTTTCGAAAATTTTGAAAATAAAAAAACTTAAAAGTTTGCTATTCACAGTTCAACTACCATTCTTTATTCAAAGGTTCTCAACTCCTGAACTTTGATCTAAACTGNTAAAGATGTAAAACAAGAAAGAAAAATAAACAAACTAAAATCTATAGGGTCCTGGAAAACAGAAATAAAATTTTAGACATACATTATACATAAAGATATAAAGCTGGATATATTGATATAAATTGATTGATAAATTGATATAAAAATATATACAAAGATATATATAAAGATATATATATATTTAAAGATATAAAGATATATATAATGATTTAAAAAGACAAATATAAAGATAAATATAAAGATACATATAAAGATATATATAAAGATATAAAGATAGATCGACAGGTTGCGATTTATTTAATGAAAGGGATTATTGAAACCTAGTCTTAGATATGTAACTCAATACAATGTATTATTTATACCTTACATATATAAATATACATATATTGCATATTTTATATTACATATAGTTATATTGGATACATCATTACATGTTCATATCAACTTATCAACTCATTGATTCATTGTTTCATTGATTCGCTGATTCACTGATTCATTGATTCATGATTCATTGATTGATTGATTCATTGTTTTAATAACTCTTTGATTCATTGATCAATTGATTCACTGGTTCATTGGTTCAATAATTCTTTGATTCATTGAAGCGTTGATTTTTTGATTTTTTGATTTTTTAATTTTTTGATACGTTGATTCAACAATTCATTGATTCATTAATTTATCATAAATTTATTCATCGAGTAGTTAATTTACTACAATTTTTCATTTAATATTGAACAATTTCTAAATTTAAAATAATATTTTCATCTGAATTTAATCTTTGAGAAACTAGTTTGCAAAACCCCTGCTTTCTAAGAAAGATAGTCTTGAATACAAATTGTTGGTAAAGGCAATACTCTATAGAATGGTTAAGTACTTATAACCATTTTTTTAGTGAATGTGAAAAAACAAGAAATTGGAACAGTGCTTTGAAAAATGCATAAAATATTTTATTTTTTTATTGATGGAGTCAAGAATTATGGATGGAGTCCAGAAATATGGATGGAGTCCAGAAATATGGATGGAGTCCAGAAATATAGATGGAGTCCAGAAATATGGATGGAATCCAGAAATAACATTTTTTTTACTTTTTTAATTAATTTTGAAGAATAATGTTAAAGCACACGAATTATCAAAAGAGATAAAGTGCTTCATGATGAGTTTACAGTTTTAGTTTCCAAATATAACAGATAGAACTGACACAACTTCTCAGAAAAACATGAAGCAAAAACAGCTTTAAAGGGAGGGTTCGTGGATTTTAAAATAAGACAGTTAATAATATTATATTTTTTTTTGTAAAAAATGGGTTCATGAAAAATTCAGATTTTTTCCTGGCCAAAAACACGAATGTTGTTGAATCCGGTGCATGAAACATCATGAACAAGCTAATTTTTTTAAGGGGTTGTTAATACATTTTTGAATAGCTCTCTGTTCATAGGTTTAAACATGGTAAACTGGACATTCTTTGCAAAATATCAACTATTCTTAAAGCCTTTACTATGTATTTTTAGATATACAATTTTCTATTATTATACTTCTTGCCTCAACCTCTATTTTTTTTTATTTCTGAATCTGTGTAACCCGATGTTGCAGAACTTTAATTAATGTTAGATCAAATAGCAATATCAAAGGTTTACACCTTTAGGTTTAAAGATACTGGGATTAGAAAATTTGAGTTTTTGTGTATTGAACAAAACAAATTTACAAGAAAGTACATACACTTACTTGTAAACATGTTAACAAAGTACATTGTAAAAATAACAATATATTTCCTTTACTGTTAACGCATGCTTAGTTTCATATTAATTCAGGATAAAAGAATTAATGGATTATTTTGAAGTAATATGATTCTATTGAAGATTAAGATCATCAATGAATGGCATTGTTATAAAAACATTATTATCACTAAAAATCTGTGCCCTTACTGTGCCGGCAGAAAATAACTACTCTCATGCATACCATTATACCATTAACTGTGAGGGAAGGGGGTGGGGGTTGCATTTTGAACCTATTTATTACTAACCTAATTTTCATTAAAATTAAAATTTATTTTCACTCTTGACTATGAAGTCTTAACTTTTGAATTTATAATCCCTTCAGAAAGTATAATTCCGGTTCTTTGGTACGTAATCTGACAGATGAAGTAAATTTACTTTTCTAATGTTTCTAGAGGTTCACCTAATCAGACGTCACAACAAATCTGATCGACCAATAAGAGATTGCAAAAATAATATTCAGCTGTTTTTAACGGATTAAGCTTTATTTCAATGCCAGCAGTCGCTTTGAAGTGTAAGTTTTCGTTGTGGATGGAAATAGATCTTGATTGATAAATTATAACGTGCTAGAAAAGAACCACCTTACTTTGCTTCAACCCCAACTGTAAAACAAACTAAAATAAAATTAAAGAAACTAAAGGCGTTTTAAAGTACTTTAGAATTTTCCAGTGATTCTTAATATATAGAACAGTAATGTCTAATTCACAATCGTTACCCTTTTAAGCTTTGTCTGAATAAATGAGATATCCAGTATTTTTTTATTTTTGAAAATGGATCAATTTTAGTAGTGGTTTCTTTATAAAGTGACTTGTAGATTTCTGCTTTTGAAATAATGGAGGAAACTGTTAGAACTAAACACTTTATAAGCTAGTAAAAAACAAAGGTTTTATGAGTTTTGATTTGATAAAGGCCACCTCTGTGAATCAGGTATTCTCCTTAAAATTCAGAAAATTTAAGTCAATTCAATTTATTTATTTTTTAAATGTGAAGCGTGAAACATTGAATTTTACCTCCCTCCGTTCTATATTTTCAAATGATACAAACAACAAAATTTTCCTGAAAAGTATGTAAATTTGGTTTAAATTCATGAATAAGATGATTTCATTGGTGCACTCAAGCATATAACTTGTACACAGGCATTCAGGCATATTGCTTATAAACATATAATTAAAATTAATCTAATTAAAACAGATCTGTTAAAACAATTCATGCTTGGTGTGCTCTGTAAGATATTAATAAAGATTTTTAAAATGTTTTTTTTTTTGCGTCATTTAGAGAAAAATTTGTTTTCTTTATCTACAAACTTAAATCCGTTTGTATTTGTTGTATTATTGTATCTGTAGGTAGAGATGGGTGCGTTCCTTTTTTATTTTGTTCTTTTATCGTTCCTGAACGACATGTATCGTTTATTTTCAATCGTTCAAAAAAAATTGATCTTGTTAGTTCTTGGGTGGGGTGATTGCATAAGCTAAAATATTATCAGTAATTTTCCATCTAATACGTTCGTTTTCTCACCGATATTTCAATTTACCATCGTTCGTTCAGTAAAAAAAAATTCTTTTTAGAAACTTGGTTCGAAAAAATCGTTTGTTCATAAAAAGTTTTTTTTTTTAAATCGTTCGTTTAGTAAATAAAAAACTAGCGTTTTTAAAAATCTTCTGGAAAATTGGTTCGTTAATTAAAAACTTTTGTTTTTTCAAATTCGTTAGCACGATTTTAATTTGTTTATTTTCGTTCGTTTTAAAAAACGACATTTTTTCAATTTCTCTTTCCATTGTTATTTTTTTTTCTAAACGAAACATCGTNTTTGTTGTACAT